AAGTGCTTTCTGTCACAGTTGGCACATTTGATTTCATTTGTGCAATATGAACTCTGCAATGGAACTATCTTGTCTTAGCAATACAGAATTTAGTTCTGAAGCCGAACTTTTGACATCGGAGAGGCTTTGGGGACATAAACCTCCACTCCGATGTTAAAGTAACAAGCTTTAATTGATTTGGAAATAGTTTGAAAACATGAAAAGATGAGTCTGGGTGTTGACAATATTACCTTCCTGCGTCTCTCTGGTAAAATGCTTTTCATCATTTCGCCTTTCACCATGCAACTTAATAGTACCGCTGACGCATACATACATGCATCAGCCGTTGTGTTAGTTGAGGTTGATGCTGAAGCTATTGTAGTCGGTGCAGAAGTTGTAGTAGTCAATGTAGTTGTTGAAGTTAAAATGGGAGTTGAGGTTGTGATAGACGTAGGTGCTTGAGAAGATGCTATTGTCACAGTGGTTGTGGCTTTTGCAGACTTTGTTGCTATTACTGTCTCAGTAGTTTGTGGTATTCACACACCAATACGTACACAGCTGTGTTGACTGATTGGTACAAATGGGCAAATGCAAAAACGGACCGTGTAAAGACGGCCTCACATTTGGCCAAAACGGCTCCAGAAAAAAAACATGACAAGAAATATAATAAAGATTGAACCTTTATTTTACCACTTGCCTCAACATTCAAACATAAAATAGGATAGATTATTACATTATTTGAAACACCATATATGGCACAAATACTTTATATACATAAAGCAATACAAAAATTGTAAAATATTTCACAAATGTCACAAACAATTTTTCATGTATATTAGGCACATTAACATTACGTGAATTTATACTCTTCAAAAAAGGAAACGCGAAACAGATATTGTTGGCCATAAAAGCCAAATAAGCGGACAAAGAGGTGCAAAATGAAGAGTTTAATGTGTTATAGTGTCAGTGACAAATGTCCCGGATCAATAGGACATGCAAACCATTATTCGGGAAACACGTACGATTCGGAAAAAACGTACTCAGTGCATAAACAGAAGGGCCATGGAGCTGCACGTGCAACAGCACTATGAACGGTTTTAAAGTGCAGGGTTTTTGATTGCTGGCATCTGCGTTAATCGAACGGTGACAGTTCAACAACATGCCAAGATAACCAGAAGTGCGAAAAAACAACATCATAGACCGCTTGCAGGCAGGGGGAATCCCGATCTGCTGTAGCCAGGGTCTTCAATGTAGCGCCCAGCACCATCACAGGCCTATGGTTTCGGTTTTAACAGCATGGGTCAACGCGTGATCTGCCAAGATCGGGACGACCAAGAGTAACCAAGAGTAAACCCCGCCCAAGATCGGTACATCTCTGACTGCGCCACGTGAAAGGACGACCACAGCCACCTCAATCACATTCCGAATACCTGGACTGCCTAGAATCTCTGACCAGACCATACGAAACCGTTTAAGAGCAGCAGGTCTTCGAGCAAGACGTTCTGTTCCATGCGTCATATTGAGTCGACAACATTGTCAACAATGACTGCACTGGTGTCGTCAACACAGAATATTGCCTCAAGTGCGATGGAGAGATGTCTTGCTCAGCGACGAATCAAGATTTCTCCTCAGTCGAGGGGATGGAAGAGCACTGTTCTACATACGTCAGGGAGAACGTTATACCAGGAACTGCATACAGTAAGCGGACAGATTCGGGTAGCGTTATGATGTGGGCGGCTATCTCTCATCATGGCAGGACAGGTTTGGTTCATATCCAGGGCAATCTTACGGCTCAACGATACATCAAAGAAATTCTCCCACTACACGTCCTTCCAATTGCAGACAACAGCAACGGTGTATTCCAGCAGGACAACGCTCGACCGCATACAGCACGGTACACAAGAGCCTGTCTACACAACATCGACGTTGATGTTCTCCCCTGGCCCTCCTGATTAGATAGACGGCTATGCCAACGTCAACCACAACCCCAGACTTTGCAGCAGCAGGCTTTTGCGTTGAAGGCCGAGTGGGCTACCATTACCCAGGATGTGATTCGCACACTAGTCTCTTCCATGGGCAGGAGATGTCAGGCCGCTATATTCCAACAGATTGTTGGTTGGTTAACGCCGCACTCAGCAATATTCCAGCTGTATGATGGCGGGATTCCAACGGGGGCCAAACGCGTTATTGATGGTTGCTGACGTTCACCTTGGACTATTCCTATGTACCGATAACTGAGATGACTACAATCGCAAAGTGTTCTCTCCACAACACTTTGGCTCAATACCCCGTACGGTTCCTCGTATAAAGGTATTTTCCTACCTCACACAAATCTGGCTTTACGTATATTTTTCTTTAGAAGTATATATACCGAGTGTCCAAACTTCATACAAATATTTCAGAATTGTATCACCATATGCATAGCTTGCAAATGAAGTGGTAAAAAAGCTTAGTGGTTAAAGCGTTCGCTCACAACGCATGAATCACATGGGTGAATGTGTGAAGCATGTTTCTTGTGTCCCCGTCTTGAAAGTGTTGGAATATCGATAAACGTATAACCAAACACGCACTCACAAATGACAGAAGATGGTTCGGCTAGATGTTAAGATTACAAAATCTGTGTCTACAGTACTGAGTCATATAATTATCCACTTTACAAACAGATCAATTAGGTATTTATAAATATGGAAAGGGTTGTGCAGCTTGTATTTAATTATCAGATCACTATCAAATTGTGACGGGACCAAGTCCCTCGTCAATAATTACTTTTTCAAATTGAGACGAACCTATATTTTTCTGCGTACAGTTTATATAGTTGCTGGAGAGTTAAGTGGTGATATTCTGCCAATCTGTTAGCGTTGCATGTTCAAGGACGAATGTCAATACATGTGACAAGAATATATATAACCTGCTAAACTGTCATGATCCTGAAAACAAACAGCAATTGTGTGTCTGTATTTTGTGTGTGTAGGAGCGACCAAAAGATATTCTGTCTCAAACAGAACATGAGCAGAACATGAGCATCTGATTACGATGGACGTGAATGGTAAACTCAGTTATATACAGTGGTTGGTTAGTTGGTTGGTTTGTTGTTTAACGCCGTACTCAGCAATATTCCAGCTATAAGACGGCGGTCTGTAAATAATCTGGACCAGACAATCCAGTGATTGATGTCATGAGCATCGATCCACGCAATTAGGATGGATGACATGCAACCAAGTCAATACGTATAATTAGACTGAATAAACAGTTGTCAACGAAGGACAGTACAATAACTAGAATATCACAGATTCGATTTAAAACTAGCTGATAATATTTAAAAGCAGTAAGTATTAGTTGACAACACAATATAAAAGTGGTCTAGAGATCGTCAGTCACTGAAGGGAGATCACCATACCAGGGACCATGGGGACCTACAGTACCTTTGCTTCCTGCATGGACCCCAGCAGGATTTATATCACCCTACTGTCACTGGCGATAGTTTACCAGTTAAGACTATGGTTAAAGTGACGAATATACTACGTTTAAAAAAGCCTTTCGTGCATAAAAATACTTCGAATGATGTGGAACTTACATACCCTACTTCAGCCCCCCCCCTCCCCCCCCCCCCACACTCTCCCCCCCACCCCCCCACCCCACACACCCGACAGTACCGCCACTAACAATCTAAATTATTATTAGCACTACCTGTTTTTAAAACAATTCAGTAAGTACATCAACATTTATGAATAAGTTCTATTTCTTAAAAACAACAACATAGAATTAAATGAGAGTAAACTTTACTGAAAGGTCCTTGACTGCTTTTAGACTGAAATATAAAACCTTTGTGATTGTAAAATCAACACAGTCAAGCCAGACATTTCTTGATGTGTGAAAGACATGTTTTTAATAGCCTGAAAAATAATGAATTGTTTATGTTTTTCTTTGGATGTTGATATAATTTACGCCGTTATAATAGCATCTGCTTCTGCTGTGAAAATAGAGCACTTATCTGGTACTCTGGTTGAGATAGTTCTGGATCAAATGACAGTGGCGCTGGCAACAGCATCACCATCTTTGGATCCATCTGTAAGTATATATTACGTATCATATGTGCTTCGTAATTCATTATATTGCTGTTGATAAATTAGTTGATTTGTGTCGGATTTCTTAAGTTAAGTTAATGTTAGGTCCACCTCTGGCTTCAATAATGCCATGGTGGAGAAGTGAACAGCCGAGTGGGAGCTATGTTTTCAAGACTGATTTGAGCAGCAGAAACATCGGATTGTGTTCTTATTCCAAGTGGTGGACTAAGAGCTGTCTTAAAAACACAGTCATATGATTGATTGGATTTAGTAGAACGTAATTTAGAGATATACTGTTAAGATAATTTGATTCGACGGTGTCTGAGGGATGGCTACGGTGGCCCATACCCGCCACTGGTGAGATCATTTTTCACTGTATGCCTCTATATTTTATTTGGCGGCCGTCAAATACTTTTCTGGCCGCTAGATAAAATATAGAAGCATACAGTGAATGATCGATGATCTCACCAGTGGAAGTATCTGGCGGCCGCCAGATAAAATATACAGGCATTCAGTGAAAACTGATCTCACCAGTGGCGGGTATGGGCCACCGTACACAGATGATGGAGCCGTAACCAAGTTTAGAACAGATAAGAGCTCTGTATAGTTGGAGGAAGGTTTTCTGATCCCCTCCCCACTTGGAATTAGAGACAACTTTTAATAAATCTTTGACCGTCAGGATTTATTCTTTAGGTATTTTATATGTGGTTGGTTGGTTGGTTGGTTGGTTGTTTAACGCAGCACTCAGCAATATTCCAGCTATATGACGGCGGTCTGTAAATAATCGAGTCTGGACCAGACAATTCAGTGTTTGATATCATGAGCATCGATCCACGCAATTGGGATCAATGACATGCATCAACCAAGTCAGCGAGCCTGACCACCCGATCCCATTAGTCACCTCTTACAACAAACATAGTCGCCTTTTACTATGGGTTGCTGAAGACCTATTCTACCCTGGACTCTTCACGGGTCTGATGAACCTTAACTCGAACAGTGCCGCATTAAATTTTCACTGCAATACATTACTAAATTGCATTCAAATAAATCAAATCCAGCATACAATTGTGTTTTCCAGCCTCAATGTGAACACCTGTATCGAAATCTGTCCAACTTGATTCCACCACTTGGAATCAAAATTCTACCACACATCACTGCAGCTGAAATAGATCTAAATATTAAATCACTTGACCGTTGTCCGTCTTCTCCCTGGCAGATGGTGAAGTCAGAGGTAGACCTTACCCTCACCCAGATCAAAGTCCGAAACAAAGCCTTTGGTTCATCAGCAATCATATAACTAATTACGAACAAAATACAAGCCTCCCAGATCCACTTTTACAGAAGAGTCCAATGGTGGTGGCAAAGTTGCAAGTGCCACCATAACTGGAGCCAGAACTGTCTCCTCAAGAATCCCAGGTAATAGTTCAATCTTCACTGCTGAGGCAGAAGCTATCTTAACAGCTATGACCTACATTCAACAACAAAACCAATCAAAAACTTTCATCATCTTCTCCAATTTATTGCCATGCCTTCACGCACTTAAAAGTGTGTCCTCAAATCATCCTGTTATCCTAGACATTTTAGATCTATATAATGATCATTCTACTGGCCAATATGACATCGTCTTATGCTGGTTACCAAGTCATGTAGGCATAACAGGTAACTCAAAAGTCTATGCTGCAGCTAAAGCTGCTCTTGACAAACCATTATATCCACTACTTATCCCGTACAGTGATTTCAAACCAACCATCAAGAGTTATACTCGGGATATCATGCAACAGAGGTTGGACACCGCGGTAGGAAGCAATAAACTTCACGAATTAAAACCAACAATCGGTCATACATACTTAGGTTGTCAGTCAAGACATGATGAGGTCGTTTTGCAGTCGGTTTACCTACGAATATATGCTGAAGACAGATGAGGACGAACTTCCTTAAGGTATCCCTTGTGATGAAAGGTTCACCATCAACCACATTATCAAAGCGTAAATCTGAAAGATCTCTTTTCCCGTGTAAGCGGGCATCTCATCTTGATTTACTTGAAAGAAATAGGTCTGAATAATGTAAATAATTAAACGCTTGCTTTTAAATTGATTGTGATGCTATAATCAACTTACATTATTGAATTCTCTGTCCAGGACAACCACCAGTAGCTGGGGTATCATGCAGGAAGCCGAGGTACCATGAGTCCTCATTTTCCCCAGCGAGGTTGGCTTGCTTTGGTAACTGTCGGTAATAACTCAGTTGTGAATGTTAACTTCGTCCCGTCGCTATATGGCTCCAATAATGCCGATGCGACGTTAAACTTTAACTCATTTACTCACATTGCAACAATCACTGAAAGTAAGAATCTGGAATTCAGAATGCCTTGATTTCAGTAATATTGGTTACAATGAATAGCAGGGGTGGTATTGAGGTTATGAAAACGTTCTTTGCCAACGTTAGCACAATTGAAGAATCTGGAAAGGATGCCTGAAAAGCACCAAGATCTGATTAAGTATATGCATAACATTTAGGTGGGCAGCACAACAGCATGATGGGATTGTTTGGAGATCATATGATCAGCATTTTGGAATGAGACAGGCACGTCATCCAAGCATTTCATGGGCAAAAATGTATCCAGTTAATTGGCTCATGAACACACACTCAAGGCAGAGTGTGCAGACTAGATCACCCAAATCGAGCACACATGGCCGTCGCCGAACGCCGTGTTATAATTATTTAGTTTCTAGAAATAGCAGAGAATATTGATATAGATGGGCCTTAAAAAGTCATATGAGCCTTGATGGCATAGATATCACCATATGTGAAAAAAACCCTATATGAACCCAAAAATTCACATTGTGGAAACATATATGATCAACGCGATTCAGTGGCGGTAATATGAGCATATAACAACTATTCAAATGCATACCCTTGATATCCTCAATTAGAAATAACTTTCTAAGGCAGTAATTCAGTAATTCAAACCTTGTAAGTTCAGAAAGGTGTCGGTGTACAGCACCTGTTACAATCAAAAGAAAAGCATTGAAAAAACTTCTTGATAAAGTATTTACTGTGGTATCAACTTTTGAGAATATTTACAAATGTTTCACTTTCTCATGTGAATTAGATACATGTTCATTGGTACAATGTGTGAAGCCTACTTCTGGCGTCGCTATGATATTGTTGTAATATTGCTAAAAGCTTATTTACTCATTTAATGAACAGAATTATTTGTACAAAGATTATGTGTTTACTTACTGATCTTGTCAACATGAGTGTATTTCATGAACAGGTTTCAACAATTGGCTCATTCAGATTATCAATATATTTTTAATGTATAATCATGGGGAAGGTTAACAAAACAGGTACATACAAATGTCAATGGTTTGTGAATTGCTGAGCTGAAACTTTCACTTTGTCCCTTGCGATGAAGCTTCACAAACTACTCGAATTTAAAGTAGCTTCTCAAGCGACAACAACCTCTGTCAATGAAAGATATATGTCATGTATATCAATATAAATACCGAAGTCTACACACTGTACTTTAAATGGTTAGATCACTTAGATTATTTCAAGCAACAAATATTCATATGTTCTGAATGAGGCATGCTTTACAATACGTGTAGACTTAAAATTTTAGCTTGTCCATGCCCTTTTCACTACAGTGTGTATTTACAAACAAACGGATAGTTGTTGTTACACCTGACGTCATCCCAACCCTGGCTGCGGTGTGGGTTGTAACTTACACAGTTACTTATACGACTAGATAATGGTTCCCCTGTGTTCCAGTAGTTTGATGTCAAGGCCGAGCCATCTACCCAGACCCAGGCTTGTTCCGTGGCGATGTCATTCAATCCAATCCATACCACTGAAAGCCAAAGTAAACAGTGAATATTTGTGTATTTAACCTATGTCAAATTGTCTAGGCGCACATGTTAGGTTTGTTTGTTTGTTTCACAACTGATTAGCGGTCTTCACTCAATGACGTAATGAACCTGAAAACATAAACTCTATTTGAGTTAATCACCCCTTTTATTATCAGTGCCAAATGATCGGAAATATAAGCAAGGGCAGTTCAAGCCTTTGCTACAGTAACTACGCTTATAACGAATACCCTTATAACGAACTGACGGATATGCCGAACTGTATTTTGGCCCCGTCCATGTGATGGATACGTGCTGTATTTGTGCTTATAAAGAACTACGGTTATTATAGCTGGAATATTGCTGAGTACGGCGTTAAACAACAAAAGAAAACGAACTTAGTTTAGAGGTCCCTTATAGTTTACTGTATTTATATTTTGCTACCTTTGAGGTACAATTGAGCATACTCTTTCTTCTAAGATTTCAAAGATCGCCATAGGACTGTTCAGAAATTGTTTAATCAAGGTTACATCATTCATGGCCTCAGTAAAGCTTTCAAAAAGTTTTATGGTATGCATGTGGAGGACATTTCCAAAATTTGACGCATCGGTGACTTAAATGTCTGATGTAGTTCTCCTATTTTGACTTGTGTCATATGTTACTATGTTCCTTTCAGGTGAACAACTTTCTTGCCTTTGGAGATGTTTGTGACGGGTGCCTCCGGTGGGGCAGGATTCGCTCACCTTTTCGCGAACATCTGGTATCATCACTATTTGAGAGTGATTCACAAATACAAGCTTATGAGATAGTTGGTACTGTACAGAGATGTACAGCGATTTCTGATGAATATATAAAAGGGTTTGTTACTTTTAATAATCGAGTAAACAGATTTTTACAGCTTAAACGCAAATTTATCCAATAGTTAGCCCGGTTCATCACATCAATAAAACTGTCAGTTTAATGATCAAGGTATTTTTAATAGATACACTAAGACTTACCTCCTGTAGATATTAAAGATCTCATCAGGTCACGTGATCTGTCATCATGGATAGGAATCAAATTAGCACCGACAGAGGCACATTCCTGTTGGGCGGCATTCCATTCTTTCTTTTCAGTGTAATACCTATAGCATTGGTCAGACAGTCTTGAGAAGTCATATCCAGAGTCTGCTTTGCAACCACGGGCTGTGTGGAAGAAAACACTTTATCACTTTTATGATATCTAAACACGTTTGTCATCACAACTAAAAGTGAATAAAGTATCTGTTTTAGGAAAACTTTAATAGATTCGTAATTTAGATTTCGGAATAAAACGCAGTCCTTGTTTTTGTAGAGTGAACAAAATTGCTTTGAAAAGCAAGATGGCTGAAAACGAGAAATATGGGTAGGAGCAATGATAATTACTACATGTAAAATACTTCTCATAAAAAAAAGCAAAAAGGTGACTGTACTTCAAAATGATATGCTAATAGCATTCTCAACTTAGACGTGATGTAACGTTCTATACATTTCTTGTGAAAGGACCTTTTGCTACACAAAATGTGGACAGAAAAGCAACGAGTTGTCAAATGACCAAACAAAACATTTTCCAGCTGTGAAACGACGCGTCAACCCGCAGAAAAGATGTCAATATTATGGGTATTGTTTACTCCACTGCAACAAACGTCCCAAATCAAAGTCTTTTGCATGTTTCAGTAGAAAACAGACAAAGAAGTGGTCGGAAGACTGCGTGAGGGGTGAGGGATGAGGCATTGAGCGGTTGATGTGGGTGGGTGTCATATATGTATGTGTTGTCATTTCGACTGACATTAGTTGAAATATCAACATCAAAAAGTGTATTGAAACCCTAGTCCTGTGTATTTAAAATACAGACAATTCCCCATGTCAAAAATAATATTTGAATGGACGCAGAAAGAGTTATAAAACATTGCTTGAACTGTCCAGCATAGTCGCTTCACATTAATATGACAGAAAATCGCGAATAGCGAGTAGCTACAGTCACAAATTGAGTATACCCCAGCAGATGCGAGACATTTAGACTTCCGTAACACAGCTCAAAATCCAAAGTTTCTAATAGTCAATCCAAAAGCGTCTTCTTCACGTCATCATAGCCAAATAAAATACATCAAAGAACAAGAAATTCTGGTAAGGTTCATTTATCCAGTAAAACTTTCGACGAATTAGAGCTTACACTTGCACTATTAAATTATTTCTTTGTTTCTTTGTTGTTAAATGCTGACCTCTCCCGCTCTATCACTATTGGACCATGGTGTTTGGGTCGTTTGGGATGAATATGTATGGCCTCGCGTTGATGTTGGAGCAAGGGAGGTTACAACAGTCGCTTAATGTGTAAAAGCATGAGTAAGCTGTCTTATGATAGTAGTATAATTATCATGGTAGATTATCAGTTATTACAAGTATTTAGGTTGAAACCCCCTCAAGTTGATTTATGCTGTTTTCTTAGAAAAGATTTGTGTTATAAACATGACGTCAGAATACTATCAGGTTGTAAGGAAATGGTTATTCATCAGAAGCCTATGATTGCATAATTTGTTTGGGGTAAACAGTACCTGACTGCCATGTGCGTTCAACGCATGCGCAGACATACTGTATTAAAACAGGAATGTGAAAACAATTGTTCATCTTATTTATTGGATTCGTTTTCTTCAGGTGAGGAATCAATGCATAGATACACATTCCCCTTATCCACCAAATCATATAGATAATGTTGTATGTTTTTATGTATACTGAATCAAATTAAAAACTTCACAATGTCCCAAGAAGGATTTTAATTAACGGTAGTAACCATAATTTGTTCCAAGCACCTACGGTATTCGGTAATAACATCAACCGTTTAAATCATTAGTCCCAAGCACGGGAATCTGATGGCACACAAGTTCAGTAGCGTGTATGACCTATGTGCGTTGACAACTGCCACACAACCTCCTCCGCATGGACCTTGTGATGCTTGTGAACACATGATTGGGAAGACGACGCCATTGTTGCTGCAAAATGGTGCCAAGATCTTGCAAATTCTGTGGTTGGTTCTGGAGAGTGCGCAGACTTCTGCCAAGAGCATCCCAGACGTGTTCGATGGGATTGAGGTCGGGAGACCTTGACGGACAGTCCATGACGATGACTCCCACATTCTGAAGGAAATTCCTTGTCAAAATTGCTGTGTGGGGTCTGGCATTGTCGTGTTGGAAGATCAAACCGGGTCCATGTGCTGCTATAAAAGGCAGAAGTTCTGGTGCCAGTACCTGGTCGCGGTAAACAGCAGCGTTGAGGTTGCCACGGATGACAAGAAGCCTGGAACGTGCCTCGAAATCTGTCAACTTCCTGTACACAACACTTGGCGTAACGTTCATGACGGCGCCTCCACACCCTCACCCTACAGTCAGCAAATCGAAGATTAAATCGGGATTCATCACTGAAGACGACTTGATTCCAATTCCTCTGAGTCCATCGTAAGTGTCGCTGTGCCCACAATTGACGTTGACGTCTGTGTAATTGAGTCAGAATTAGCCCGCAGTATGGCCGTCGTGCTTGAAGGTGAGCAGCTCTCAGACGGTTTCGAAAAGTTTGCGCACTCAGTCTACCCCTAAACAGTTCATTTCTGGTTGATGTAGCCGTTAAAAATAGGTTACGGAGGTGACGTAAAACAATCTGACGATCCTCTGCATGTGACGTCACACGTGGTCGACCTGGCCGAGAGCGATCAGCGGTGGTACCCGTTTGCTGTAGACGCATCTGTAAATCATAAACTACAACCCATCGTCCTTGCGACTTCAGCTACGGACGTTCCCGTCTGCAACATGCCAATGGCACGTTCACGTTGCACATTTGAAAGGCGTGGCATGACAAATGGCCGTAAAGACTTTTGTTTTCTTGTGTTTTTCTTTTTTTGTTAATGACTGCTAACAAGTATGGCTGAAAACACGTGCGGTATTATGGCCACGTGACCAGTTGCACGTGAAAAACCACTTTTGCCACTATAGTGCTGTGCACATGATTTTTATCGATTCACCTGCACAAAGACGGGTGTTATCTGAAGACAATACGTGGCCATTACTGTTTAAATACACAATAAGGGCCAACAATGATAACTTGTCAAAATGTTAAAATTTTAGGATTGTGAAGTTTTTAATTTGGTTCAGTATATGTATCAACACACAGTACTTCCAAAAATGTTGATATATCATGCTAGTTTAGACATGAGATGGAGAAAAAATAGTTCTTTGATAGTTTTCACATTGATTTCAGTGTCGTTGATGCCTTAGTACAAAGTAATTTTGTCGGAATGATATTTTAGCGGGCTACGTAAGTGTTTTAGCGGAACGCGGAGTAAGTCTGTGGGGAGTAACGTCCCTTGGCTGTCGGCCACAGCGGAAGTAAACAAACTCGACGTCCCGTTCAATGTAAGTTAATTGAAGATTCAGACTTGATCAATAGCTACTACTAAGTCTAGAATCCCTACAATTTAAGCCTAACTATGGGACAAGTGGTTTGATGAGGATATTCTTGTAGATAAGTGCGTTTTGTATTATGAAGTGAATTAGAAAGTTTTCCCGCCTTTTACGCGCATGAAAGTATTCATTTGTCCAATGTTGACAAATATATTTGTGCAGTAATCCTTTTGTAAATACATATATAGGGGTTACAACATTGTTATAGAATCATTGTGAGGTTAAGAAATAATTATCTTTGCACAGGAATAACAGTTGCATTCCAATTAAGGGGAAATAATTCTGTCTTGTTTCTTAACAATCAGCTGTCAGTTGAAGATGTTTTTTACAGTGTTCTGTATCTTGTGTATGATGGTGTTATTAGTATTTCTCTGAGATCAAGATAAATATTTCAGGTCAAATTTGATAAATTTGATATCAAGTTTGATCAAACATTTTAAGTATTTGTGTGCATCTTATTATGTAAAGGGAGATAACTCATCAGTCATTATTGTCCTGAAAGTTAATATTGGAAACACTTAATGTTGATAACAATTCTCTACAGTAATTCTAAGTTGAAATTGTTCATCTTAATTGATATTTTCAGGAAATTTAGTTGTCCATTCCAGTTGTGAATTATTATTTAGATGGTCATGCCAGTGCTGATAGGTACTAGTAACAACACTATGATGTATTAAGTACCGTGTCATGTCAGATGGAAGTCCTGTTCTACTGTTTGAAGAAATTGTTGATGTAAGGCTTTGATTATGTGCGTTTAACGCATGCGGAGACATACTGTATTAAAACAGGAATGTGAAAACATTTGTCATCTTATCTATTGGATTCGTTTGCTTCAGTTTCAGGGATGATGGCAAATGCCGATTGAGAAATCCGGTATTTTCATTGCTTAATGACGCATTGCCGAAACTCCATTTCCCGATTCATCATGTTTATTCATCTTTTTCAACAAACACATCTCTGCCATACGAGATTTACGAGTCATTTACGAGTACAACATAAAGCATTCTTAAAACTATCATTTTTATTCATTCAAATGACACATCTTTTATAAATGTTGTTTACAATGATTGAATTCACGAAACAAACAAAAAATAAAAAATTGTAGATTAAATTTGATTGAATAAATCGTCTGCTATACCTGCATGTAAACAATTAAAGTGAAGGAAGGATCATGTGAATTGGTTGGAAGAGTAGTGAACATACTACAGCCATTGGACAGTTTCAATGTCTTTGTGGTGAAAACTGACATGAGTGAGCGACAAGTCCCTCATTAAAGGCTTCGCGTAATACCTGAAACCATGACTTCAATGTCTTCCACACCTCAACACTTTGGTCTAAATCAATGTCTGCCACGCCCAAACATTTTGGTTTAAATCAATGTCTGCCACGCCCCAACATTTTGGCCAAAATCAATCAGATCTTAGTTCTTGCTGCCGCTAAACAAAGATCTGAGGACATCCCATTACGGGTCACATCAGACCGACCTTTCACGAACTCTGACAGACCAATGGAATTACTGACAAGAAGTCAACAATAGCCAATCAGAATGCAGCTTTCTTGGAAATTGGTAAAGGAAACGAAATCAAATATAACAAAAGTGGAATTAAACAACGAAACGAAATAATAGACATTTGGGCTCAAAACGCTTTCTGACACGGCCGCCCCCAAATTTAGGCACTAAATTTGTCAACATCTGAAGAAAGTCTTTCCACACTGGGA